CAATGAGAGAATGCGTTCCCTTCATGCCTCCAACCCCCAGCAGGTGGGGGCGGAGGGCGCGCGTGCGCGCGTGCCCGCGTGCCCGCGCTCGCGGTGTGCTGGCCGACGGGGACTGGGAAGGGTCAGCACCATGGACGGAGTCACGGCCTCCTAGGCGTTTTCTGCAGGGATGCTATTTGATCGTCAGAATCGCATTGCTTATTGAACATGCTATGGAATATCACCTGGCTCGACATTTTGTGATGTTATTGTACTTCTATTAGTTCTTATTACAAAAACAATTGTTAATTAGGGCGCCAGTGGCTCACGCCTGTCAACCCTAGCCACTCAGAAAACTAAGATCTGATGGCTGCAGTTCAAATCCAGCCCAGGCAAGAAAATCTGTGAAAGTCTTTTGCTGTTGTTGTTTGGGTCATGGGGCTTGAATTCTGGGCCTGGTGGTTACTTGGAGATAAGAGCCTCACGGACTTTCCTGCCCGGGCTGGCTTTGAACCGCAGTCCTCAGATCTCAGCCTCCCGAGTAGCTAGGATGACAGGCGTGAGCCACTGGCTTCCGGCTCACCCTTCCTTCCTTCCTTCCTTCCTTTTTTTTTTTTTGTCAGTCATGGGGCTTGAATGCTGGGCCTGTACGCTGTCCCTCAGCTCTTCAGCTCAAGGCTAGCGCTCTACAACTTTAGCCACAGAGCCACTTCCAGCTTTTTCTGTGTATGTGGTATTGAGGATTTGAACCCAGGGTTTCATGCATGCTAGGTAAATACCACTGAGCCTCATTCCCAGCCCTATTTCTACCTTTTTTTTTTTTAATCATCAGTCATGGGGTCTGAACTCAGCCTGGGCCTGGCCCTGCCCCTCAGCTTTTCAGCTCAAGGCTAGCGCTTTATACCATTTGAGCCACAGCACCACTTCTGGCTTTTTCTGCTTATTTGGTGCTGAGGAATTGAACCCAGGGCCTCATGCATGCAAGGCAAGCACTCTACCACTGAGCCACCTTCCCAGTCCTCTTTCTAGCTTTTTGAAGATAAGAATGTCTTGGATTTGTCTACTTGTGGCTTTAAATTTCTATCCTACATCTCAATATTCTGAGTGACTAGGCACACACCAAAAATCCTAGCAACTCAGGAGGCTGAGATCTGAGTATCACAGTTCAAAGCCAGCCAGGATAGGAAAGTCCATGAAACTCATCTGCACCAAAAAGCTAGAAGTAGAGCCATGGCTCAAGTGGTAGGACACTTGCCTTGAGGAAAAAAGCTTAAGAGACAGCACCTGGGCCCCGAGGTCAAGACCCAGTGTCAGTACAAACCAAACAAAAACAAAGAAACAACCAACCAAAAGCAATTTAATATGAATGAAGCTTTTGTCTACTGATTATTTTGTCAGTACAAACCAAACAAAAACAAAGAAACCAACCAACCAAAAACAATTTAATACGAATGAAGCTTTTGTCTACTGAATGTTTTGTTTTTTTTGGGCCAGTTATATATGTGTAACGCCGTCAGGTTTGCTTTACAGGTTAGGGTAGTCCTGGAAGGCTGTTCACACCCTGTAAAGAACTCAGTGGGCTCCAGGAAATTGCAGTTATGCATGCATATCCTTGGGTGTCCACCCATACTTCTGCAGGGCTGGTGATTATTGTGTCTCTGAACCAGATGTTTGAGGGACCCAGGGTTGGGTAGGTTGTGCCCTTGACCCAGGTGCAAGCAAGCAGCAAGACCAGGTCCCAAATGCATTTTGTTTTCACTCCCAATTCAACTAACACACTCTTACAGGGGAAAAAAATAATACAATGAAATAAAACCAAAATAAAAGAGAAAGAAATTCAACCCCGCCCTTTCTGAAAGGTGCCCTGAGGGTAGTCCCTCAGGGTAAGCTGCCAGCCCAGTGTGTTACATAATAATTATTCTGTTTAAAGTTTTTAAGCCTTAAAACTTATTTTTAACTTTTCTTTAAAGCTAACATGCACATGATGAAATTCCAACAGTACCAAAGGGTACAGTGAAAGGAAGTCTTTCTCCTAGCCTAGGATATAACCTCAGGCATGGCTTTCTGTGTTTCTGTCAGAGATATCCAAATATAGATGAGCACATGCACACTGTTTTATAACCTACTTTTTGCCAACACATGACTCTGATGTAGAGGCCCTTTGTTCTTTGAGGCCTTGATGCCATTGGCTCATCTGGAACTCATTCCTGCCCCAAGGAGTAAAGAGAACTCCTACTGCCTCAGGAGCCATGTAGCTTGTGACCAGGAGTGTCTCCTGTCTGCCCACAGGCCCTGTGTCTCTACAAGGAGGGTAGAGGGGGGCAGAATGTCTGTACAGGTCTTCTGTTCACTGTGTGTGTGCATATAGGTTCACAGTCCTGTTATTGATGCCCTGCTGCCCTTGTACTTTGTGTAGATTAGCTTGCTATATTCTCACATGGGCCTATTATCAGGCTTATTGTTGAAACAGGACCCTTGTCGACCTGAGGTCACATAGCTAGGAGAAGGTGGGATGGGCCCCAGACTGAGTCCAGGCCTTGCCTTGTGCTGTCCTGCTCAGCTGAAACTGTGGATGCAGAGTTTGAGAAGCACGATGTGTTCTCACCTGAGAGGAGACAAGAAGTGAGAAAGTGAGGCCATGCAGACTGGCCAGTCATCTTGTCTCCCAGATACCCACAGGCCACACTGCCTATGGTCAACAATGTACCTGATGTTGCTGGACTTGTCACTGGAGTTGTCTGTACTGACACTGAAGACCACACATAGTGGCCAAGAACAGGTTGCTGGGTTTCAGGCTTGTATTCTTTTTTTTTTGGTCTGGTCGTGGGGCTTGAACTCTGGGCCTGGGCGCTGTCCCTCAGCTCTTCAGCTCAAGGCGAGCGCTCTACCACTTGAGCTACAGTGCCACTTCCGGTTTTCTGGTGGTTTATTGGAGATAGGAGTCTCACGGTCTCTCCTGCCCGGGCTGGCTTTGAACCGCAATCCTCAGATCTC